TGGGTACGGGACTCAAACCGTGATCGACTACATGGGAGTTCAGTGACATAGCCATTATGCTAACTCCTGGTACCCCCCCAAAAAATTCTTGTGTTGTCAGAAACGTCAAGATGTGTTTTTGCCACAGATATTGCTAGTTCATTTTTTTAAAGTACTGAGGTCATTCACATCTATGTTCTTGTTGTCATTGTCTAGCTTCATTCTGAAAAAAAAAAAAAAAAATTAAGTGATTTTGTTGAGTATTAGAGATTTTACAAGTTGAAGATGGAAAACCAAACTGCATTTTGCCATATTTGACTGTTTTACATCCGTAAAGGGAAGAACGCACGTCAAGCTCGTGACAAGTTGTGTAAAGTTATGGTGACAATGCTCTACGAGGACATCAGTGCTGATGACGGTGCACAAAATTCCATGCTGGTAATTTTGATCTCAATGACGCTCCTCAGTCAGGGAGGCCCACCAAGGTTGGTGATGACAAAATAAAGGCATTGATTGAGTCAAATCCACATTATGTGCCACAAGAGATTACGGAAACATTGAATATCCATCATCCGAGGGGTGACCACCTGAAGAAGCTGGGATAGGTAAGGAGACTTGGTATCTGGGTTCCTCATGAACTCAAAGACGTCATTTGATGGTACAGATAAGCATCTGCAATATGCTCATTAAATGTGAGAAAAATGATCCTTTCTTGAAGTGACTGGTAAATGATGATGGGAGTGGTTTACAACAATATGGTGTGCAAATGGTCTTGGTCCTGACATAATGACTCGCCTCAAAAGCAGCCATTCATCAGAGGAAGGTTATGCTCTCAGCGTGGTGGGATGTTAAAGGTATCGTGTTTTTTGAGCTCCTACCAAGGAACCAATCAATTCTAATGGAGACCATTGGCAATTGGACAGTTTGAATGAATCCATCACCCAGAAACATCCAGAGCTTGCTGATCATAAAGGAGGTGTGTTCCATCATGACAACATGAGACAACACATAAGTTTCATCACTCGTCAAAAATTATTGGAGCTTGGATGGGATGTGCTGCCACCATCATCACCTGACCTTGCACCAGCAGACTTCCACTCGTTTCATTCTCTTAAAACCTCTTTGCATGGTATAACGTTCAATTCAGATGAGGTTGTAAATCAGCACCTTGTTCAATTTTTCACAGATAGGTCCTTCTGTGAATGATGAACTATAAAGCCCACTGAAAGATGGTAAAAAGTTATCAAACAAAATGGGCAATATATCATTGATTGGTCTTTGTTCTTTATATAAGTAAATGACCTTTGAAAAACATGGGAAAAATACAATATGACTTTTCCAACAATCCAATAATCATGTTCACTAATGTTATTTGTATTGCTGTGTAATAGGTTTATAATTTTTAAAATTAATTTCACATAGGATTAAAATTTCTCAGTTGTAATTCCTGATTTGGCAAGTGTTGATGGATATAATCCATATATACCAAAGCTCTTTGGGGATCCTTGATGTTGAAGAGTGTATAAGGGACCTAAGACCAAAACGTTTGAGAATTACTGATGTAAAGGGAACTTGGAACTGGTATCAAGAGCCAACAAATATCAACAGGACATGTTGGATGACAGCTCTTGCTGGCTGAGAGTCACATATAAGGACCTTCAAAAAGTTTATGGAGGGCCAAAGGGTAGTATAGAGGTTAAGATGGCTGGATCCCACATGCTTGACTTCACAGTTTGAATCCTGGCCCCAGCATCTTAAAAAATATGCTGGGTGTGTATGAGTACATGCATGGCCAAAATCCAGAGAGGAAAATGGAGAAGGGATTACAGTATGGCCATCCCCCTGGGGAGGAGGGTGGTAATTTCTCACTTTCTCTCTCTTCCACTGGCAAGCACATGCACCCTATAGGAATTGTTAAAAAAAAAGGGGGGGGGCAGCAGGTGACATGGTGGTTAAGGTGCTGGACTCCCACATGGCTGACCACGGTTTGAGTCCCAGACCTGGCACCTTGCTTTCTCACTCTCTCTTTCTCTCTCACTGTCTGTCTCTGGCCAAATTAAGAAATAATAATAATAAAAAATATAGTTTAATAAATAATTCTTTAAAAAAAAGTTGATATGGGAGAAATTCAGAGTCTGTCCCACAAAAAGACTGCTACATGTAACTTAAATTCTAACTCTTTTTGGGGGCATGGTGGCGCCTGCCCTATGGCAAATTCTCTTTTTTTAAAAAAAATGTTTATTTTATTTTATTCAGTCATTCATTTATTTCAATTTGGCTTGAGAGAAAGAGAGAGAGAGAAAGTTAGAAAGCAAACTACCAGGTCTGGGACTAGAACTATTATCAGTCATGTGGGAGCATCCAGCACTTTAACCACCACGCCACTTGCTGGTCTCCTCAATTCGGACTCTTAAAAAGTAAAGTTATTGGGAACCAGCAGTTAGCGTAATGGCTATGTCTCTGGACTCCCATGTAGTCAATCGCAGTTCGTGTCCCGGACCTGGTGGCTTAAAACTCACGCTGGGCGCATGTGCGTGCGTGCCCAAGATCCCGAGAGGGGAATGGAGGAGAAGGGATTGCGGCATGACCATCCCCCCTGGGGAGGTGATTTCTCGCTTTCTATCTCTATGTCTCTCTCTGTCTGGTGAGCGCACGTGCCCTATAGCGAAAAAAACCTCTCCAAAAAAAAAAAAAAGTAAAGTACCCACTGTCCCAAGCAGGGATCAAGAATTTTAAGAGTGTTCATAAAAGAGACAACCAAGGATAGCCACCAAGTGCTATCACTTCGGTTTGCCTTATTTTCTGACAAGACAGCTAGGTCATCCATTCTGACTCCTCTGCTCCTATAGAAATCTTTAAGAATCCCTTACCTGCAAACCTAAACCATCTCTCTTCAGCTGAAAAGCTCGGGAATCCTCACACTAGATGGAGTTAGAAGTTTCAAGTACAAACCTTAATTAGACTTGATGTTTTACAAATTTCCCTTGTGGTTTTTAATTATTAGAGAGCAAACATCTCTCATATTGAACTTGTGCACTACTTAGTCCTATATCAATGCCCTTAACAACCATTTGCCTTTTACAAGGACTTTATTCTTCTGAGAGCCATCTGAAGGTCTTTTGAATCCCTCAAGACTGGACACTGAGGAGTACAAATAATCATTTTTTAAAATTTACACTTCCTCTACAATCTTGAATTTGAAATGTGAATATATTGATGTGATAGCTCTGGAATAACTATGCAGATTTATGGACACTACCACTTTAGGTTACATCATGGGACCCAACAAGGCCTTTCTTTGTGTAGCTGGGGATTTGCTAAAGTTGGGATATAGTTTAGGGAAAAATGTGATTTATCCTTAAAGTCATCTAAAAATCAATACAGCTGAAGATCTCTGACATAAGGGTCCCTTGCAGAGCTAGACATGATTCTAAAATTGGGAAGACAGGGATAAAAATCAAATCCTGGGTAGAAGTAAGTGGAAATTGCCATGAAGAGGGGGCTTGAGCTTCTGTCTCCCCACCGGTTGAAGATGGCCTTGTTTTGTTTTTGTTTTTGTTTTTGTTTTAAACAACCAACATAATTCAGCTGGAGGAGGTAGAAAGATTTTTCTATTCCTTGTTTCAGTAGAAATCGATCGACTTTAGCTTGTGTAATTGTCCCCCCTGCGTTTAGTATCTAAAATAATATAACCCTCATTGCTTGCATTACTGAACCCATTTCTGCTGGCTTGGTGTCCATGGCTTAACAAGTATTAATTAGCTAATCCATGGAGAGCCGGCTGGTGTGGGGGTGGGGGTTGTGAACTGCACGGAGTACGTTCAGCGGCCCTGACTTTGGCTAGCGAAAGCAACTTACTAGGTGGACCGAGGGGACTTCTGGGGATGTGAGATCAGCTCCTAGCAGCGTCTGTGCACTGTGCATGAGCATGGGGCAGAGAAGCCTGGGCTCGAAGCCAGCTTCGGGCGTTGCTGTCCCAGCAGGTAGCAGAGGGCTCAAGGCGAGAAGGTAGGGTTGGGCTGGCAGCAAGCAGCAGCCAAGCCCCCCCACCAGGATTCCTAGGGAGAAGTCTCCACGAGTTCTCCCCTCCCTCCCCAACTCTGACCCTCCCAGCTTCCACTCAGACCGCTTCAAAATCCCTCAGGGCTGCGGTGGGGAAGAGGCAGTGGGAAAGAGCACGGAAGGGGAAATGTCCTGATAAGCAGCCAGGCCCGGGAGGGCTGGACTCAGGCTGGAGAGGTGCTGCACTTGAGAACGAGGACTCCAAGACTCGCTGGGGGAATCGTGACTAGCTTACGATTCGCTACCTCCTCCGGGGTCCCCGAACACCCTGGCGCCTCCTGGGGGGGGGGCAAACGCCCGCAGGCTCCTTGGCGTAGGGTCAGGGGGCTAGTTCAGGCCCTCACTGCCCCTTTAAGGGTTCCCGAAACTTTCGCCCCTGATATCAGATGAGCCTCGTCACATCCGTTGGCCATAGCCGCCTGGGCGCGTTCCAAGGAAATTCGGGACTCGAGTTTCCCGAGGAAGAGGCGCGGCCCGACACGAGCCAGTGTGGCTAGGGCGGGGGCAGGTGGACCCCGGCCGGCCCCGCATTCCGCTTTGACCTTGGCCGCGGGGGAGGGGCCAGGCCCCTGCGGGGCAGCAGCTGCCCGCCAGAGGGGGCAGCGACGAAGAACTTGCTCAAGTTGCCAGCGCGGACTGGGGCGGCTCCGGCTTCAGCTCGGCGCCTCCGCCTCCTCCCGGCCTCCGCCTTCTCCAAGCCTCCTCCCCCCGGTCCTCCCATCCTTTCCCGCTGCTGCCAGACCTGGTGCGCGCCCCGCCCTGCCCCGCAGCTCCGCAGCTCCGCGCGCTCGCCAAGTAGCTGAGCTGCCGCGGCTACCACCGCAGCGGGGTCGGGCCCGGACCGGCAGGCGGGGGGGGCC